TTCGGTTTCGGTCTCATCGCAAAGTTGGAGAGGAGGACGAGGAGTGGGAGAAGTGGCCCAAAAGAAAAAATAAAAGAAAAGTTGAAAAAAATAATGAAAAAAGCATAATGCTAGAATCAAAGATAATCATTTTCACTCTTGGATCAAGACATCTTAACTTAACCAAAGTGGGAGGGAGGGGAGGGAGATGACATGGGTAACCGTACCAGGTCGACTAGACAGAGGAAGCAACTGAACTGAACCGGGTCAATCATCAGGTTGAGCGAAGAAAGAAGACTTCACAGGTCGAAAAAGACATCAAGGACGCGGGGGAAACCGACATGTAGAATTAGGGCCTTCGGATGGCCTGATTGATGTTCGGCCTGAAGATGCATCTAATCGAAGGATCGGTTGTAGCAGCAGAGCTTGACATCGATAGTACTCCACCTCTAGGTAATCAGGGTCGATCATACGGTTATACCACCTAAAGAAGTAGACAAAAGGATAAGAATAAATATTATGTGGACCTGACCCCCCACGTGGATAGGACCACGTGGCATAACATAATGAGGCAGTCCGGACAGTTCATTCGGGCAATCTTGGGCAAAAAGTTATCATCTCCCCATATAAGAGAGTGAAATATGCCTGAATTGCATTATACACTCTCTACATATATTTCATACTGCATTTCATCTTCTACAAGTATTAACTTAAGCATCGAAGACACATCGCGGGATAACCCCTCCGGTGTGAGAGTTTTGTAGGTCTAAAGGCATTCAACCAGCGAGGAGCTCATTTGACGTACCATTTGGCGCCGTCTCTGAGACTTCCGATCAAAAAGCCAACAAGCACCATAGCCTTGGTCGGCGAAATTCCCAGAAAAAAAACTTGGAGCATACTTTTGACGATGAGTGGCCGAACACTTGTCCCCTCTGAGCAGGCCACCGCTCGAATTCTCTGGACCTTCTCAGACTCCGATAACCTGATGCGTCTGCCTACAGGCTTAGGGAGTTATAGTTGATGTTGCAAGCTCGAGCCAGGTGCAAGAGGCTCGAGCGATCCAATGAGTGGTGGTTCCCAAGCAAGCGCAACTAGATCTAGCCAAATTGCAGCTAGGGAGGACGATGGCTCAAGCGAAGGGACCACCTAGGGCCGAGGTGGAGCAAAATGTTTGCAGGCGCAAACATTTTTTTTAATCCAATATATTATGTATTTGGGCTGGTATTTTTTTGGTATGAAATCGGTATAAACCAGTATTTGGCAAAAATGGTATTTAAAGGGATACCGTATCGATCAGACCACTGGTATCCGATATTACTGCTAATATCAGACAATATGGTACGATATGTAAAACATTGTATTTGCTTATAAAACATACATGGCAATTTGTTTATATTTTTAGCAAAAGTTTCTGTGTGGCCTTTATCATTAGCATACTGATTATGGCAAATTGTGCTATTAATTAAATTTATTTAAATAGCATATCTCTTATTTTTTGTATAATATAATGTGCATTAATATTCCATACCAACTTTTGTGTAAATATTCGATAATACTAAAATTATCGCTTAGAATCACTATTTCAACCTGCACGATTTTTACATAACAAACCCCCTCTATGCCTCATTTTCATAATTACTATTATACAAAGTAAAAATTCATAGTAAAATCTGAAATAAGAGTTTTCAAACATAAATACATTACTAATAAATGCTCAAAGAATCACACAGATAACATGAAAATAAAAAGAGTAATGCTATAGAGTCGACTTGATGACAACTTGTGTACAACAGTATTGGGAATTTCGATCACACTGAAACTCCGCCCAAGATTCTCTGAAAATAAAAAACTGGAGAACACAAAATTTAACGTGGAAAACTCTCTGTTAACGAAGAGGGAAAAACCACCAGAGCAACAAGGCCGTAGAAAATCCACTATGTAAAAAAAAATTACACAATTTTTCTACCACTCACTTACCCAAAATTACCCCACAGAATTTTCTACTCGTTAACCCTAACTCTCACCCTAAGGAATTTTTACCCTAAGAAATTTTTTACCAGAGATTAATTGTTAACATAATAACTATGTGGGATGATTTTACATAAGAAGTAGCACTTTCTTATATAGGAGAAAAATCTCTCTCTCTCTTTCATTCCACAATCGATGTGGGACAAAGTGCAAAACCCAACAAACTCCACCTTGCGATTTTGGCCCATCTGACAGCCACTATTCACTTTGATGAAATTTTTCATAGCTTTCGCCATCATGCTCCACCATAAAAGCATATCCACTCGGACTCGCATCCAAGCATTTCTTCGGCCCATGTCGAAATAACCTTGCTGAAATCTATGGTGCAACTTCCACGTTTGGCTTTCCTGGAAGTTCATCAGCCCTCGACACGCTTTTTCCACCACACACCTTGCATCACCGCCAAACCAATGCCCGTGTGTAAACTGTAGACCCGCTAATTTTAACACGTCCTCTTTCATGACACTTAGCGACATGCCATAAGGACTCCCCTTTCTCTCTTAGCAAAACTCATCCATGGAGAGAGAGACAAAATTAGCTTCTTCGGTATCTCCACTTACCGACTTGGAGCCTTTTGCCGAACCTGCTCCTCCTTTCGGACAATTTCTTTTTACGTGCCCAGATTGTCCACACGTCCAGCAAATCACGACTTGCTTCTTCCTGGAGTTCCTCTTCTTTCCGTCACCGACGAGCATGACTTGACCTTTCGGTGAATTGTTTCGTTCACCATCTAGCCTTCTCTCTTCCGCAAGAAGTTTACCAGTGACTTCAGAAAATACAATTTTCTCCTTCCCATGAATCAAGATCGGCTTCATGTGTTCATAAGAAGTTGGAAGAGACCAGATGAGTCTCAACGCCTGATCCTCATCATCAATCTTCACTCCAATGGATTCCAGCTCCGAGACGATCCCATTGAGAACGCTTAAGTGATCTGAGATGCTTTGACCTTCAGTCATTCGCAATGTGTGAAACTGTTCCTTCAGATATACCCGATTTGAGACCCTTTTAGCCTGATACAACTCCTCAAGCTTGTCCCATAATGCTTTTGCCGTCGAAATTCCATGCACATTAGCAAGAACATTCTTGGCCAAACACAGTCGTATCGCGCTTGCCGCTCTCAAATCCAGCTCCTCCCAATCTTCATCGCTCATTCCAGATTTGCTCACACCAGCTTTTTCTTCAGTGGTGCTGGTAGCACTGCCTTTGGGAATTTCTGAGCCCTTCAAAGCTTTGTGTAACCCCGACTGAATCAACACGTCCTTCACTTGCACTTGCCACAAGCCAAAGTTGATTTTTCCGTCGAATTTCTCCACATCAAATCTCGCCAGATTCGATATCTTATTTCCAGACATCTTCGTAAATTAGTGAACACTGACTTCGCAGAAAACCGAGCAACCTTGAACAGTACTGATCAGATAAATTCTCAGGGAGGGTAGCGGCCTGCCCCTAAAGAATTACCCTTCTAAGTAAGCTCCCAGGAAAGGCTGGTGGGGTCACAACAGTCCCACTTAAAAACCAGTCTCCTAGACAGAACCTACTTACACATTAACTATTCCCTCCACTGCCCAAAAAAACTCTCTGTGCACAAGCTCCACCCGTCACTAGCTCCACCGCACGAACAAACCTCTTTGGTATCTTTTCTGATGTGGAAGATCAGACAAAACTGCAACCACAGAGCATACTCAGAATACCAACTAGGCTAACCTTGCTCTAATACCACTTATTGGGAATTTCGATCACACCGAAACTCCGCCCAAGATCCTCTGAAAATAAAAAAACTGGAGAACACAAAATTTAACGTGGAAAACCCTCTGTTAACGAAGAGGGAAAAACCACCAGGGCAACAAGGCCGTAGAAAATCCACTATGTAAAAAAAATTACACAATTTTTCTACCACTCACTTACCCAAAATTACCCCACAGAATTTTCTACTCGTTAACCCTAACTCTCACCCTAAGGAATTTTTACCCTAAGGAATTTTTTACCAGAGATTAATTGTTAACACAATAACTCTGTGGGATGATTTTACATAAGAAGTAGCACTTTCTTATATAGGAGAAAAATCTCTCTCTCTTTCATTCCACAATCGATGTGGGACAAAGAGCAAAACCCAACAAACATAAGTGCAAATGCATTATTTCTTAATGTTTTGACAATACCACCCAAGTTGTTAACTAAGTGGGCTAAATAGCATTACTCAAATAAAAAAAGAGTTAATTGTTAAACAAACCTAAACTTTTTTGCGTTTGGCAATTTTATTCCAATCTTTGAGTAATTGCAATATAATCTCGATCGTAATTTACTTATTACAAGTCGAGCCTAAAACTGATTGGACCTACAAAAAACTGGTTGATTTGAAGGCGGTTCAAACAGATCGGAGATCATATTTGAACCAGATCGGTTCAAACAGACCGGTGATGAGTATCCTCTTAGATCTGGAGTGAATCAGTGTTCACTCCAGATCTAGGAGGATACTCATCACCGGTAGCTTACATTAACGTGGAATTTTTGGCTTTAAGCGTGTATATACATTAAATACGTGGAAGTTGTCAACTTGCTACGTGAATGGCATAAAAATCCGTGTTAATGGAAGACTTGGACACAAAATCGATCCACAAATCCCTAAAATCAATCACTCTGCACCCCGCAATAAGTAAATTAAAGTGGAGATTATATTGCAATTAATCAAAAATTAAGATAAAATTTCTAAACACCAAAAGATTAAGTTTATTTAACAATTAATCCAATAAAAAACAAACAACATTCAATGACGGAGGTTGGCATTATAACTCACTAACCTTGACATTGGACCACAACGCAAATTAAGCAGATGGTAAATATATTTCAAATACAAGATACCACAACAAAATAGTATTCGATCGATAGTACTAATAAAACATACATCACAACAAAGCGATAATAACTCACACTAGTTCTAATATAAATAACAAAGAAAAGTTTAGTATTAAACAAGAAACCAAAATTAGGAATGGTTAACATATAAATAACCTAATGTGCTTAGGTACTAGCGGCTCCAGCTGCTGTTTAGCATAAACCTTTGCTATTTCGGCCAATTTTAATTCTTCAGGATCAACTGCCTCGTAAGCCAGATGTATCGGAGCTTGGGTATCAACAATGATCTCCCTAAGCGCGACACAACTCTCCAACAAGTAGTTGACTAATTCAACATCACTCGGGCAACCATAATAACCTGAAAACCGAAAAACATTCAAGTGCTGGTGCAGTGGAAACTGCTTAACTCCCTTCTGGATTTCTCTATCTGACCTTTCCGCTTCAAACCATGATTGCTGCAAATATTAAGGAAAATATAATAAAGTTCACACATTAATTTAACATGTAAAATTTAAGATAAAACAATACAAGCCATAAAGCCATTCAATGATGACCAGTTTAAGATTGTAGCGATAAATATTTTCAAACATGTTTAGGATAGACCAACCTTCAACTCAAATTCTTGCAAGTTGGGAGATGCCTTGATAAAATGAGTTAGTTCTAGCAGACTTGAATCCACTCCACTTAAACCTTTAATGAAGACCAACTTCCTAAGTTTAGGCATCACAGGGAAATTGAGCGTCGATAGAACCTCCTGCCAAAACAGTAAATATCAACTCGTAAGAGTTGCATATACAGACTCACTGGGCCTTCCTTTAAATACCTTCCACTTGAGTTACTTTTTGACAATTCTTGCTTAATCTTTAAATATATTTATGGATATTGTAGCTTTCAATATCGTTCAAAAAAGATTGCCAAAAGATAGTTCAGTCAGAAACTATCGAAAGATTATCTCAAGTGCTTGTTTGGGTGCACTTTTGGAAAAAACCATTTCTCGAAATGGACTTATGGAAAATAGAATTCTCCAGAAGTCCTCATCCTTTATTTCTATAGAATGGAATTTTTGGAGAAACAACTTTTCGACAAGTCCATTCTTAAATTAGCACCAAACACGAAATGGACTTTTGCATTCAAAAGTCCATTCGTGAAGTGTTTCCAAACAAGCTCTAAACAGTTTAAAATATTGTTCTTATACAAAACTGGTTATTGTCAAATTTTACATAACCAAAATGCTAAGAAAGCATATGGGAAAAAAAAAAAAAAATCATCAGAAGACATTTATTAAAAAATAAAAATGGATGGTAAAGTGTAGAAATGCAAATTTTCAAAGGATGCTAGAATTATAAACTATTTAGTTTTTTTTTTTTTTTTTTTTTTTTTTTTTACTTATTTAACCTGAAATTTTCTATAAACACAAATAAGCTTCAAACAATGAATCTCCATAGTTGATTTGACAACCATTCGAGTATTGTGTTAGCCACCAAATTTAACAGTTGGCAAATCCGCAATAGGGCTCTATTATTATGTTTTATAATGCAAAGGCAGAAATTAACCATGCTATATTTACTTTACTATCATTAGGCACCAGTAAGTGAATATAAACAAAATAGAAAGACAACTTACATTCCTAAGATAAATATTGAAGGTGAGAATCTCCAAGTGGGAAAGACAGCAAAGCAGTGTGGGAACTAGCTTTTGTACATAAAAAGAATCAGGCCGACTGTCATTAAAGTTCACATAAACGTCACGAAGCACTGGAACATCCTCAAGCAAGAGGCCTTCTATTTTACCAAGTATAAGCGTACTAAGATTTGGAGCAGAAATTCTTAAGGATTCCAAATAACTGCACTTGCATATCTCCAAATGCTTTAACACAAGGGATGGTCCACAAACTTCAAGACTGGTCAATACAACGGAGAAATGGACAACTAACTGCTCCAGCAATGGGCAGTAACGAAAGAAAAACTCGATAGCTTCACGAGAGACATTAATGCAGCTGAAGCTCAATATTTTTATGGTTTTATAGTTGAAAAGTCTGCTAGATTTATAAGGATTATAGGAACTGTTATTTTCCCATAACAACTCTTGAGGAAACACGTACGTTTCATCTGGGTCGTGAACATAATCACCATCTGAAAGGTTCAATTCCAACTTTTCGATGTGCCTCTCAAAAGCAAATTCAATCCACTTCGTAATTGACGGTGATTGGACTAAACTAAAACATATTCTTAATTCTTTCAAGCTGAATCCTCTGTGTGATTGGAGAACCGAATCCACCCATCTTACATACTTTTCCCTCTCTACAGAGAGGGAATCTGGGACCTGGATAATCTTCTCCATGGAGCTATGGTCATCGAAGTAGAGATATGAGGTGTAACTCCACAAGTTTCTCCAGCGAGATGAAAGAACACTTGTGCGGCCAGCTTCTTTCAGTGGGAGGGAAGATAGGATAACAAGGAGAATGTCATCAGGCAACCGACTTATAAGATCATCACCATGGTTGTATCTCTCAACACACTATCAAACAAACATGGCGATAACCCATTAAGAATGCAATAATCAACAACTTGCATGTGGAACTCAGTAAAAAAAAAACATGTTCTTGCTTCTCAATTCTATAGGGAANNNAAAAAAAAAAAAAAAAAAAAAAAATTGTTTTATGGTTGAGATTTGCAGGTCTACCATAAAATAAATCTAATGTGATAAAGAAATCTAAATGATAATGCAAATTCATGTAAAAAGAACTAGCAAATATGTATGAAAAATATTTATTTTCAAAAGGCTTCAGACCAGAAAATAGATATTCGTAAGAGGAATGAAGGTTAGCCTGAAACACAGAGCATCTATCTGCCAAAACACAATGACACTGTAGGTCAAACAAACGCCCAAACAAGTTCATACAACACATTCACACTCTTCGTTAAACAAAAATCACAACATAAATCTTATCAATTTTCACTCTTTTTTGTTGCCGGATAAAAAATACGGTCTCACCTTATTCAGACTCAAAAATTTCACCTTTTTTCAATCTCAACTCAAATTTCACCATTTTGGGTCTGAAAAATATTACCTTTTTAATTCCGAACTTGGAATCAAGGTTGACACGCCTGCCAGCCATCAAAGCGCGCAACAATCTGTGGAGTTTGAATTGACCAAACGCAGATCTACAACAGATCAGGATATTTTATGTACATATGCATCAAATAAAGGGAAAACTCTCTATTTAACAAGAGAATGTGAAAGATTTACCTCCGAGCTGCAACAAAACCTTTAATCTTAGGTCTGGAGATAAAGATAGGTTGGAGCTTGGATGTAACTTGTAAGGAGATGATGTGCGTGTACTTATTGGGTTGAAACGTGGTCACGGCTCGGAATAGGAATGGCAATTTGGGCCAGATCCGTTTTAGCCCAACCTGCCCTACACATGGCATTTGAGCGGTAAACGAACCGAACTTTTGCGAACAAAAGCTCGTTTGAGCTCGTTCGTTTTCGACAAAAGCTCGTTCGTTTATTAAATCGAGTTCGAAAATTAGGCTCTTTTAATAATCGAACGAACACGAGCTCGTTCGTGAACGTTCGTTTATATTCGCGAACATTAACTTAATATAATTTTATTATTTTATATATATTAATTATATATATAATATTTTTAATAAAAATCTAAAGTTTAATACAATTTTATTTATTTTTTATATATTTACATAATATTTTTAATAAAAAAATATAAAATATAAAAATATTTTTATTTTATTTTTATTTTCGAGTTCGAACGAACAAATTTCGAGTTAATCAAACATATTTAAAAAGTTTGTGTATTAAATTATTCAAACACGAACAAACTCGAACTTTGACGAATAATTAAACGAATGAACTCGAACACGAATTTTTGCTCGAAAAATAAACGAACGAAACGAACATTGTTCGAACATAAACAAACACGAGCTCGAACAACCCAAACTCGGTTCTGTTCGGTTCGTTTACAGCTTTACATGGCATCTGTTCGACACGAACCAGCCCATTGACCACGAGCCTCTAACGAAGCTCGAAGTTTGTTCGGGTCAGTTTCGGGCCACTTATATTTATTTTTGTGAATCGTCGAACCAGTTCAGGCCTTGCCCGGAACTGGTCGTGGAAGACCCACATTTGTTTCTCTTTAAAAAAATAAAAATAAAAAAATGGGGCCGGAACGAATCGGCCCGGATTCCCTGTTGGCCCAGATTAAGTTTGGGTCGTTCGATATTTTTTACCGTTTGTATTCACCGGTAAAATTGTTTTTATTTTTATTTATTTATATATTCGGTTCCAGGTTCGAGTCCTATTTCGGTTCCGATTTCCAACCGACCTGCACAGATGATGAAGATCGCGTATCCCGATTGTCGGTAAGCCCCGCGCGCGCCTTGAATCGACGATAGTGCCTCGAAGGTTCACGTGTGCTCCCCTTCGAAACGAAATAGAATTGCAAAAGAAATCACGAGAATTCTAAGGCAAAGTGTTGAACAAAAGTTCGGTTTTTATTTATGAAATTCGATAATAAAAAATAACAAGGGCATGCGCCTAGTTATAGGCTCAAATAAATGTACTCCTAATCTACCTAGGCTATTAATTAAAGCAATAAAATATTTAAAGTCCTAAACAATCTAGAAATCATAAAGTAACTAGGAAACTATCTAAATCCTTCTAGAATATCTCATGCTTGTGTGCCAAGTCATGGAACCCTAGCCGCCTTGGCCTCGCGCGCCTCACCCATTGCCTGGAGGACTAAGGCATCGCTCGCGCGTGTATCATCGACGCCTGCGTCCTTTGCGCCTTCCATCTCTGCGGCCAATCCGCACGTCGTTCCCCAACGGTTGTGCGCCTTGTTCGTGTTCGACGTTCCCCGGCGATGGCGTGTCCCGCTCAATTGCATGTGTCTCGGCTGCGCGCCGGGCTAGCCTCCTTCGCGCGTGGTACACGCGGCTTGAGGCGTTCTTGAATCATCGCGCCACATCCTCATCAACAGAGCCTTCCGCCGCATATCCTGTGTGATGCACAAAGGAGTTCATATTTTTTTTTTTAAAAAAAAAAAAGACTTTATTTTAAATGTAATTGTTTATATTTTCATATATCATCTCATCATGGAACTAAATAAATACAAATAAGGAAAACATATATTATTAAAAACTTCTCTTTACAATTAAGAAATATTATTAATCTTTGCAGTTTTGATTTTTTTTTAATCAATTAACCAATCTATGATATTAATGTACAAAAATAATGGAAATAATTCAACTCTAAATTGAGTACCGGTTTACCGTTAGTCCCATAGTTAGCTCAGTTTATTTATATATATGTCAATTTCATGATGTGTTATTAAATATGTTGAATATTCAGTGTCGGTTCTGCCGGAGCATCGTTGATTTATTATGCCCATGCCTCCGCACTAACTATTTTTTAGGTGACGAAGTCCCGCGTATCACGTGAGCTGGATGTGGTGGTGGTCATGACCAAGGATATTTGTGTTATGACATGTTTTGTATAGTTTTAATTATTTATGCCTTAGTTTATATTTCGTTTATTGTCTGTTTGTCTATGATGTTTGAATCTTCCGCATTCATAACAATATTTTAATATTTCAGAATTTCAAACTAGTATTTTAGTATTTCATATTTCAGACTAGTGTTTCAGTATTTTGGAATTTCAGACTAGTATTTCAGTATTTAAGAATTTCAGACTGCTTGTGTAATTCCAGTAAATTTTCATGGCCTTAGTTCTAGAATGAATTTTACTTGGCTGCATGCATAATAGATTTAAGAGAATAGATTATAGTTGAGTAGCATCATGCATATTAAAGTTAAAGTATTTTTCGAAAAATTATTAAGTGTTTCAAAAATTTAATCAGTGTTTTCTTATTATAGCGCGAAAAATTTACTCTAATTTTAATAAGTCTAAACGAAGTGTTACATTCAATTTATATCATAAGATGACCTAATTAAAACTAGTGGGCCTTTGGCCTAGTCCATGAAAAGTAATGTCCATCGTAATATATTTACAACACTTATATTACAACACATTGGACCACAACGCAAAATATGCAGATCCCAAATATATTGAACATGTTCAATAGTACTAATAAACCATATAACATCACACTAATAAACCATATAACATCACAACAATGCGATAATAACTCACACTAGTTATGATATAAATAACCAAGAACACTCGAGTATTAAACAAGAAACCAAAAATAGGAATGGTTAACATATAAATAACCTAATGTGCTTAGGTACTAGCGGCTCCAGCTGCTGTTTAGCATATCTCTTTGCTGTTTCTTAAGGATTTCAAATAATTGCAGCTCCATATCTTCAAATGCTTTAACACAAGGGATGGTTACTGGACAATAATTCGGAGAAACAGACAACTAACTGCTCGAGTAATGGGCAGTAACGTAAGAGAAACTCGATAGCTTCACCAGAGACATTAACGCAGTCTAAGCACAACAATTTTAACGCAGTCTAAGCACATCTGGGCCATGAACCCAATAACCATCTGAAAGGTTCAATTCCAAGTTTTCGATGTTCCTCTCAAAAGTAAATTCAAGCCACTTTGTAATTGACAGTGAATGGATTAAAGTAAAACATATTCTAAATTCTTTCGCTTTAGCCCGACGTGCCCTACACATGTCCATGGCCCTTGAACCGAGTGTGTAAGAAAAAAGGACACCCTCTATCTATTTGTTTAAACACTAGCATGTATCTCGTGCAATGCACGGGTAAACAATATGACTTTTATAGCATGTAAAGTTGTATTATCCGCAACCGTATTTTTTTTAATCGAAACTGCTCGATTTGATGGTTAGAAGAAATATTTTCAAAAGAAATAAACAAATGATTTTTTTTTTTAAATATTTTTACCCTTAAATCAGTAGTAATTTGTTTTGTTAAATAAAACATGCTAATCAAAACATATGTATTAGGCTATTAGCCGATTATATAGAAAAAACGTTTTTGATATTTTTAAAATACAAAAGTATATTTTTATGATTAGAAAAAATAGCACGTAACTTTTTAATTATTAAATCAGTTGTAACTTTTTTATAATAAAACAGATGTCAAAGAAAACAATTGTATTAGACGAATATCTGGTTTTAAATTTGGATAATACAATTGGCCGATGTTTAATTGAATTAGCAGCCGTGACGTACATTTATATTCAAATTTAAAAATAGCTTTTTGTAACCAATAACCAAATTTAATTGATGATTACCGTGCATTATCAACTTTTGATATGCACATCATGTCAAACCATCACAAATATTCAATAGACTAAATTTAAATAGCAACCTAATTTTTTTGAAAATAAAAAAGTAACAAACTCCTCATTTTAAGGACAACATTTAAAAAAAAAAAAAAAAAAAAAAANNNAAAAAAAAAAAAAAAACTAGTACAGAGCCTGTGCGATGCACGGGGTGTATAATTTTAAGGTCATTTATCGAGTCTTATAATTATATAAATGAATTAAAAAAAAAATGTACGAGATATATATAGTACGTGACCTGTAATAGGCCAAAATGTGAACACGAGTGATGCACGAGGTGCACAATTTTAAGGTCATTTATTAGTACAGAGCCCGTGCGATGCACGGGGTGCACAATTTTCTAGTATGTGTAATAAAAATACATACCGTATGCACGGGACAGAAGCACTAAATGAGTCATTTCCACAGAGCTTGCCCGTTAAGTAGCTCCTGAACACGGGTGCACAATTTGTAGTACGTACCATAAAATCAGAACAGATTTCCATACAATTAGATAATGAATTAGATAATAAATAAAGTCTTTTTTATTTTAGTAAAGATTTTACGTACTTTGTTTTTTTTTTACTTATCAGATGTTATGGGATTTTTTTTATTAAACCGATTTTACGGAATATAATACAAATACAATTAGAGGATTGAACAAAATCAGAACAGATTTTCAGACAATTAGATAATAAAAAGGAATTAGATAAGGAAAAAAAGGAATTAGATAAAGAATTTTGAATCTGACTTTTTTTTAAGTATAAGTAGACTTTACGTACAAATTTTGACTTCACTGATTTTATGGGATTTGTTTTGACAAAATCGATGTTAATATGGAATAAGACAAATAAACAAAGTCTTTTTATTTTAGTAAAGATTTTACGTCTTTTTTTTTTTACTTGCAGATGTTATGGGATTTTTTTTCTTAAACAGATTTTATGGGATATAAGATAAATAAATAAAATAATTAAATAAAATTCTGTAGAGAAATAGCAATGCATTAATTACATTGACTTTTCAATCTACTAAATTTGGCAAATAGGATACCTTATTTAATAATTACTAGTATCTTCACCCGTGCGATGCACGGAACATATTTATTAAAATATTTTAATAAATACATTAATATATATATATATATATATATATATCA